TGCAAGTGATCTAGATTGAACCAAATTGAGAAAATGATCCTTACTCCACATGGTTTCACCCCAACCTATCTAAAATTTGAGCTTGCCTTTTGTGCTAATTGTTGACAAATGGGGAGAGAAATTCACAAAGATAGTAAGATAGGAGGAGCAAACAAATGAAATAACATTATAAGGGGGATCAATCAAAATTGTACACAAGTAGGGGGAGCAAGCTCATAAACTTGTATGTTGCATTTGAATGTGCATTTCATATATTTGCTTGCATGGCACAAGTTTTAAATTTCAATATCCATGCTTGTGTGGTGTATGCTAGTTGTAGGTTTGAATGATGAAATGAAAAACTAGCATGCGTAGGTGAAGTAACTAGACTTATGTTCATTTTATGGAAACTAAACCCTTACTTCTAATGTTGATCTCATGGGGTATTCTAGTTTTTGTGTATGTCTAGTTACTAATGGTGCTAAGGATGGTATATTGGTGCACTCCGATTGGTATCACGCTTGAAAGGTCCATCTCTTATATCTTAGCATCATTTGGTAGACATTGTCTCCTATATTTCCTATCTAAGCATATGTGCAAGCTACAATCCAAACTCTTAGCACATATGTAGGGGGAGCAATTGCTACCATTTGGGGTTCATGAAACTTGTCCATATCCTGTTACACATGATAAATATGCTTGGACAAACAACATGGATTCAATTAAATTTTAATTCATATCTTTGTGTAAGGGTTGTCATCAATTACCAAAAAGGAGGAGATTGAAAGCCCTAGTTTGGTTTTGGTGAATTGATGAAACCCTAAGTGCTAACCTAGTTTATCAAAGTGATTATGAGATAGGTAGTACTACTCCAAGTGGTGAAGCGAATGAAGATCATGACATGATGATAGTGATGGCATGGTGATGATCAAATGCTTGGACTTGAAAAAGAAGAAAGAAAAATAAAAAGCTCAAGGCAAAGGTAAAATTAATAGAAGCTTTTCGGTTTAGTGATCGAGACACTTAGAGAGTGTGATCACATTTACGATCGATAGCCGTACTATTAAGAGTGGTGAAACTTGTATCGAAATGCGGTTATCAAAGTGCCACTATATGCTCTAACTGATTGCATATGCATTTAGGATCTAGTGGAAAGCTAACACCCTTAAAAATGTTTGTGAAAAAATGCTAACACATGTGCACAAGGTGATACACTTGGTGGTTGGCACATTTGAGCAAGGGTGGAGAAGTTGGTGAATCAAAGGAGGTGTTTTTCACTGTCAAACAGTGACCGGACGCTGAGTTCAAAGTGATTAGACTCAGGGTTCCAGCGTCCGGTCAATTATAAAAGAAGGTGGTACTCTCGGCCTGAGACCAGACGCAGGTGACCGGACTCTGACTGAACACTGTTTAGCGTCTGGTCCTGCTGATATGGCGGCACACAGAAAAGAGGGTGAGTGACCGGATGCTGGGCGAGTCCGGTCGGGCGTGACCGGACGCGTTCGGTCACGAATTTCTACCTCTGGAACCTTACTGGAAGTGACCGGACGCTAGGCGACTGTGCGTCCGGTCCTACACTGTAGTGCGTCCGGTCACAACTTAAGTGCACTAATGACCATTGAGATCGGGCGATCAGCATTTGAAGTCAGGGACACATGGCGAAAATCTGAGGACCGGATGCTGGGGTCCTGCGTCCGGTCAATCCAACCGGCGCGTCCGGTCATCCCGATTTTTCAGGGAACAGAGAGCCAATGGCTCTATTCATGGGGGCTCTCTATTTAAGCCCCATGGTCGGCTCAAGCTCACTCTCTTAGTCATTTGCATTGACATAGCAACCTTGTGAGCTTAGCCAAAGCCCTCTCACTCATCTCCTTCATTGATTCATCATCTTTGTGAGATTGGGAGAGAATCCAAGTGCATTGCTTGAGTGATTGCATCTAGAGGCACTTGGTGTTCGTGTTTCGCTGCCAGATTTGCTTGTTACTCTTGGTGGTTGCCGCCACCTAGACGGCTTGGAGCAGCGGAGGAGGATTGGCACGAGTTGGTGATTGTTCGTGACCATCTCCCGATGATTGTGAGGGGTCTTGTGCCTTCCCCGTTTGAGCGCCAAAAGGTAACTCTAGTGGATTGCTCGTGTCATTGAGTTACTCACTTTTGGGTAGGTTCTTGCGGTGTCCAATTGTGTGGACGAGGTTCATGCAACACCTCTTAGCCATTGAACCACCAAGTGTTGGTCGACACAATGGAGACTAGCGTGCCAGCAAGCACGTGAACCTCAGGAGAAAAATTGGTTGTCTCTTGCCCTTTGGTGTTCTCCAGATGATTGAATTGGTATTTATCTTGTGATTGGTTCACTCCTTCACGTGGCGGTATAACCCTACTCACTCATTTATATTCTCGCAGACTAGTTGTAGCAAGCTCTTTAGTGTAGCAAGTGTGAGAGCTCTTAGTGAGTAGTGACTTAGCAAATTGTGTGTCTAGTGATCATAGTAACTAGAATTGTTGGATAGGTGGCTTGCAAACCTTGTATAGCTAGAGCAAGTTTTCATTTCACTATTTGTCATACTAATCAAATTGCTCTAGTTAGTTTGTAAATTTTTAAATAGGCTATTCACCCCCTCTAGCCATATTAGGACCTTTCACTTGGGCGCTAGCACTGCCCAACCTCTCTAGAGTTTTGTGTTGCTCTTGGTCTAGGCACATAAGGTCGTGCCGGTATGGCACGACAAGTCTGTACTTTGGTATAAGCACGACCCATGGTGTGTTGGCACACCTTCATGTTGTGAGGGTCCAAGTACAACCCATGTCACACCCAACGCACACCTTTGTGTCATGTTGGCCTAAGCACGGCCCTTAAAATACTTTGTTTTCTTTTCCCTCTTGTAACATATAAAAATATATTTTATATATACTATTTGTCATAATTTTTTTTCATGATTTCTATAATCCATTCAAGAATTAGATAAGAGGTAGTATAGTAAATTATAGAAAATTGCATTGTAGCATTGTAGATATATATGTGTGCCGGTCCAAGCACGGCCCAAAACATGAGTTGTGTCATGCCGCTCGATGTGCCGAGATCCTAAGCACAACATGTCCCTCTTATTCGTGCCATTACATGCTTTGGGCCGTGCCAAAAGGTGGTGCCACAATCCGCCTCAAATGGTGGCACAGTCAAAATCCCAGCTCTAATTACTGAGTGAGAATAAACCTTGATGGCCATGGTATCCAATAGTATCAATAGAAGAAACTGATTAACAAGAGTGACAAACTTGGTATGAATATCAAGGTATCCGTTTACAATATACGATTTTCTAGTAATTTTTGTATATAAAATTATGAAGAGAGGAGGCGGTTGAAGCAATTGACTAGCAAGCGACAAAAAGGTCATGAATATCAAGGTACCCGTTTTTGTTGCAATGAAAATTATATATGTTGTACTATATACTACTAGGAGAAGCATCATCATGCATATGACTTCTTTTTTGTTCAAACACGAAACTGCTTCTCACACACAACATCACAAAGAAGACGATCTAACTGTTGCACGCACTTATTGAGTACATTTAATAAGTAGAGGAACGTACGTAAACACATTCTTCTCTCCAACCACCACGATGCCCACAAAAACCCTTGTGTAAGCATTTTTGTTTGATGATGATGTACTGGTTTACCGGCATTGCGTTGTGTCAATGCAAGCGTGAAAGAACCAAGATTGACGTGGGTGGCAAAGAGCGTGCAGAGGACGATGAGTCAAGTGAAAAGGCAGGCAGCCCCAGCCAGCCAGCCGGCCAGCATGCAGGAGGAGGACACAGGAAGGGAGCCAGGAGCACACACACCTTGACACATGCATCTGGCAGGAAACTCACCGCTTTGCACAAACACAAAGTACTCGCTTACTATGGGGCTGCACTGCAGATTGATGAGAGAGGCCCGGCCGGCCGTGGTGTGACTGCAGAATGTGGACCTGGTCACTGAGCCTGATGAGAGCCCTCTCTAGTCTCTCCCCAGTCCCCATGGGGTGGGGGTGCACTGCACTGCTACACACACACATCCAATCTGAAAGCAGTGAGAGAGAAGCCTGCCTGCCTGCCTTGCCTTGCTCCTCCAGTCCAGCCCTCCCCCCACCCATAAAAAAAGGGTGCACTGCTCCACAGAGGAAGGTGTGGAGAGAGAAAGAGAGGGGATTGTAGAGAGAGGAAGGGGAACCCAAGCCCTGGGGGCGTGGGGGAAAAAGCATCCCAGCAGCCCAGGCGCACGAGCTCAGACAGCCTTTTCGTCCCCCAAAAATAATCAGATCATCATCAGTCGTCTCATGCAAAACAAAACAAGAAAAATCAGATGCAGTAGTAGTCTTCTCCTACAATATGGAGTACTAGTACATACCTGCATGAACATGCACACAAAATTTTAATTCGAGAAGGTGGAAGGTACAAATATTTTTGTATTGTATGGTATACATACACCTGCATAGTTATTAGTCCAGTCTTTATTGTGTGTGAGCACTGAGGAGGATGCAGGTATGGACACAAAAGAATGGTTCCTTTGACTCCAATGCCCTCCTAAGTGTCATTTTCTCATACATTGGTGATGCCTGCCCCTCCTTAACAACAAGATAATCTCATATATTCTCTCTCTCTCTCTCTCTTCCCTCTTCTTTGCATCCTAGCTACCCCCTCCTTTATTTTTTTCTCTCTCTCTCTAACTTTTTATGCTGGTAGCATTAAGAAAGGACAGCACAAGAGACCAGTTCATCCCTGGTTGCCTCTCATAGTCACCTTCTTGAGAAGAAAGAGAGAGGAGAGAGAAAGGAGGAGGAGTAACTCCAGTACTAGAGACACAGACACCCACCAAGGCCAAAGCAGAAGCACCCCCCCCCCAACCTTCTCTTGTATATATCATCATCGATCGCATGAGCTATCCACGCTAGCCGGAGATCGATGAAGAGAGGAGGGACGGGGTGGGAACCGCAAGCGTGCGATCAGGAGAGAGGGGCGTCAGCCGAAGGTAGACGGCGGGCGATGGAGGCGGCGTCGCCGGACCTGTCGCTGCACATCAGCCTGCCCAGCAGCGCTGCGGGGCCCGGGCCGTCCGGGGGGCGCGCCACCGTGGGGGGAGCGGGAGGAGGAGGAGGCGCCGGGGGAGGAGACCCGTGGCGGAGGCTGAACGGGTCCACAGCGTCCACGGAGCTGTCCCTGTCGCCGCCGGCCGAGCAGGAGCAGCACGAGGACGCGCTGCCGTGGCGACACCGGCCGTCGGCGGCGGCCGTGTCCTCCGCGGCCACCACGTCGGCGGGGGGCGCCGCGCTGATGCCCGCCATGCCGATGCTGCAGCCGCTCGACGGCGGAGGCGGGCTAGCAGTAGCAGGCGGAGGAGAGGGCGCGTCGGCGGCGCCGCCAATCCGAGGGATACCTATCTACAACGGCCCGGGGGGATTCCCGTTCCTGCCGCCGGCCTCCGGGGCAGACGGCGGCCCCCTCCACCACCACCAGCACCAGAAGCTCGGGTTCTACGGCTCGTACCACCCGAGCACGTGGCCGTCGTCGCTCGGCTCCACGTCGCCGTCGCCGCTCGCGCCGGGAACGCCGCCGTCCACGCTGGACCCCGCGTCGGTGTTCCTGTCGTCCCCGGCCGCGCACCACCACCACCGGATGCTGTTGGCATCGGGCAGGCTCAACGGCATGCTCACGGACACCCTCCGCGGCTACGGCGCTAGCGGCGTCGTCGGCGGCCTGGGAGGCATCGTCGGCGGGCTCCACCACAACCACCACCACCTCCACGGCGCGCAGCCGTTCGGGTTGGGCTCCCGGTTTATGCCCAAGCTCCCCGCCAAGCGCAGCATGCGCGCGCCGCGCATGCGGTGGACGAGCACGCTCCACGGCCGCTTCGTCCACGCCGTCCAGCTCCTCGGAGGCCACGAGAGTGCGTGCCCCCGACTCCGAGCAACAGAATTACACCTCCTCGTCCTTCCTACGATCTCTCTGATCAAAATCACACAACCTACCTTATATCGATCTCCTCTCCTCTCCCTCCTGCAGGGGCTACGCCCAAGTCGGTGCTGGAGCTCATGGACGTGAAGGATCTGACCCTAGCGCACGTCAAGAGCCATCTCCAGGTACGCGCTAGCTGCCGCCGCCATTGCCAACCTATCTCCAACCTCTGAACTCCGAACGAATTCACCTCCATCGCCAGAGCGCTTTGTTTGTGCTTGCTTCGTCTCCCTCCTGCCATTCTTTCTTTGTCTTGTTTTGTTTGGGTCAGACAAGAACGCCAATGCAGTAACTCGAGAGTCAGTGAATGACGGTGAAACGGACCGACGGGCGGGCCTCGTCGTCGTAGCCAAGAAACTGCCATTGCTGTTCGCTAGGCTCATAAATCATAGCAAACTATTGTCGATTGATTTATCGTGAGAGAAAAATATTATTTGTTGAGTAAAAATATATGACTTATAAGTCGGTGCACGGCGGAGGAGAAACTATTGTCGATTGATTTATCGTGAGAGAAAAATATTATTTGTTGAGTAAAAATATATGACTTATAAGTCGGTGCACGGCGGAGGAGAGAGATGCATGGTGCGGGGATGTGTGTGAATGAGAGAGAGAAAGAGCAAAAGTAGTCATCATTACACAATAATGCAATGTATGTGCATCCGCGCCTAGTTAGCGTATGTGTGTAGGTGTGTGCGCGCACGGCCCAAAGCACTCAGCTTCAAAGAACCATGGCCTAGCTAGCTCCCAGAAGAGGACCCAGAGGAGAGAGGAGAGAGAAGAGAGAGGAGTGAGATGAGCGAGGGCATGGCATGGGGGCATCATAGTATTTCCATGTGTCCATTTGCTGGTGTTCTCTTGCGCGCCGATCCGCCTGCTCATCCATTTGCTTGTCTCCTACCTCCTCTCCTCCTCCCCGCGCCCACCACCAGTGGTTTTTGCATTGCATTGGCCTGTGAGCTCATCGCTTTGCTTTTTTTGGTGTGCTTTCCTCGCTTCCCCTTTCAGATGTATCGGACCGTGAAGAGCACTGACAAGCCTGCGGCGTCATCAGGTACCACTGCTAATCTGGCCACAATGCCATGCGTCGTCCTCGCTCGCTTGCTCCTGATTTACCACCTCATTAGTCAGTCAGTCAATCAATCACACTGCGAAGTGCTAATGGCTGGTACGGTGCCTGGCATTGTGCGTTCAGGTGGGAACGACGGCGGCGGCTCCGGGGACGAGGACTTCCCCGACGCCGGCCAGGCAGCCTCCGGCGGCGAGAACAACATGTGCGTGAGGCCGTTCGGGGAGCACCACCGGTCCACCTCCGCGGGGGCGGCGAGCTCAGTGGGCGGCGGCGGCGGCGGCAACATGGACCAGTCTTCGGCGGGCAACACCAACACCAGGTGGAGCAACTCGTCCAGGTACTCTCACTCCTGCACAAGCGCCACTACCCGTACTAAATGACAGCATCATCATGTTTTGCGCACATCTGATATCTGATGATAAGCGCCTCCTTTGTTTGTTCCCCAACTAGTGCATATCTGGACGTTTGCTTATTAATGCAGATAATAATAATGGCATCTCATGGGATAACAGCTTCATCTTTTTTTTTTGTCTAATTGCTAGTAGTACATTAATCCCAAAGACACCACCAAACTTTGGTGCTTAGTAGCATGCATTATATTGGGATGTCTATATAAAGTGATGAGCATGTATATAAAATCCTGCTTTCTGGTATGGTTACATACATACTCCCTCCATACTAAAAAATAAAGTCATTTTGGACAGTGACACAGTCTCTAAAGTATTACTTTGACTCCTTATTTTTATAAAAAAATATTTATCAAAAAGTGATATATGTATATTTTTATGAAAGTATTTTTTCAAGAAAAATCTATTTATATGGCTTTCACATTTTCAAATTTCACAACTTAAAAGTTATTCATGATTTATATTCCACCCAAGCCTTGTTTAAAATGACTTTATTTTTTTTAAATACGGAGGGAGTATATGTACTCCTGTACGAGTGTTCGGTTGGATGTAAAAATGAAAAGGTTAAAAGAATGTTTTGGGGGCGCACACTAGTACCACACACATGCTGCTGACATGCACACTTGGAGAGTGGAGAAAGAGGTGCACGTAGGGCTTCCTATCTCATCTCTAGGTGGCAAATGCAAGCAATGCTGTGTTATCGCAGAAAAGACCAAAAAGCCACATACCCCAGCATGACCTCCATTGACTTGAACTTCTGCACTGTGTTTTGTTGGTTTATGTGGAATTATAGAAAATACAGCTCTGCTTCTCCCATCCCCACCACACCACAACACAACATTGTGTGCTGTGTCATTGTGTCTGTGTAGGTTCTTGGGCTCTGGCCGTGTCCTCTCTCTCTCATTTTCTCCCTCTCAATCCTAGAAACTACAGAGTACGTAGGGGACGGAGTAGGCCGTGGGGCTCCATTATCTTTTCTTATCAATGCATGGCTCTGATTCCAGGGGGATGCATGGGAATATTGACCTGACATGCCCTATTGCCTAGGAATATGTAACCAAGGACTCTTTGGTTCTCTCCCATCGTCAATCTCTTCAGTGACTTTCTTTTTTCCTTTTGCAATTATTTGCACAGCACCACACACACTTTGTCTCTCTCTCGTTTTTTTTTTGTGCCACTCTCTCTCTCGTTTGATTAGGTTCTGAAGCCAGATGCAGCAGTAGTACCAGTATATATACTCCATTATATATGATATAAATCTGAGGTTCAAAGAATGACACAATGGGGCTATTGCTGCTAGATTTGCCTCGGAAGTTTGGTTTTTTTTTTTAAAAAAAAGAACATATGTGATTCGGCATTTTTACCAAAGACTAGGAGTACAGGTGAGCCTGTCTTTTGGCTATACTCGCTTTTCTCTTTCTCCGCTCCATCTTTCTTGTCATCCCATCTTTTGTCATACTTGCATTATATTCTTTGATTTATTGGTCGTTTCCCTCAGTTTCCTCTCTGATGGCACAGCTCTATCTCTCTCTCCTTCTCCCCCTATGGCTCATGTCTTTATGGGCACGTTGGTTGTTTAGAATAATCCATTTCCTTTTGTGAAAATAATAGTCCATTCAGATTTTTGAAAGTCTTCTTTTTAGTACCTTATCCTTCTTTTTCATAGCCGTTTAAGTCAAAGAATGAATCCGTACCTCACATTTCTAATTGCAAGGCTCCACTATGTTAGGTACTATCTGGTGACAATACGATTATGTTAGCAAATGGCACCTTCTGGCCTTTTTTGAAAGGAAAAACAATGTTCTAGGCAAAAAATAATTGCCAGGGGGTAGTACGATTCTCAATTTTTTATTCATGGTGCTTATCAAGTTAATGCGGAAATAGGACTGTCGTACAGACCAAAGTGAATGAATCGGCCCTTTTCGCTTGAGCTTATCAGTCAGAATTAGCCCTACTTTTTCAGTCATAGAACAGTGTTTTTCTTTCACAACAAATCAGCCTTATAAATCAGCCGCAGCAGCAATAAGTCCTGCCGAACAGGGCCGAAGTTGTGAAGCCAGAGAACATTCTACTATAATCTTCCCTCAAAAAAAACATTCTACTATAATCTTATTGACCAGCAATTGTGCTGATGATGATCAAAATATTGTACTGAACAACAGAACATGGATCCACAATATAACACAACTAATTTTGTAAAGGAGAGAAACCAACCCACAGTTTATTATTTTTTTAATGTCAGCTTTATTGATTTACTGATTCAGTGCTTTCTTTGGTGTATTATGTGCTTTACTTACTATTGATAAGTACAAAGAACATAATCACATATAACTTAATTTCAGTTTGGGATGCCGACTCATGCAAGTAAAAAATTTCCAAAGTCAATGGAATTTGGAAGCAATGTTCTTTCCTTGAACTCTAGGATAGTAGGAGTGTAGGACTAGATTACATAACTTATCAAAAGTATTGATTTATCTCCATCTTAAAAAAATTAGAATAACATATCCTTAAAGTCAGAAAAAGATTCATACATAACTCTTAGCACATAGAGTAATATGCCTATGATTGATATATGGTACTCCCTCCATACTAAAAATGAAGTTGTTTTAGATAAGGCTTGGGTCAAACATTGAGAATATAAATCATGAATAACTTTTAAGTTGTTGAGTTTGGAAATGTGAAAACCATATGCATAGATTTGTCTTGAAAAATACTTTCACAAAAATTTACATATATCACTTTTTGATAAATATATTTATAAAAATAAGTAGTCAAAGTTATGCTTTGCAGACCGTATCATTGTCCAAAACGACTTCAATTTTTAGTACGGAGGGAGTATCATATTGGCATTTAAAGTCCAGTGTGGCTCCTTAATGTTTAACTGTATATACGTTTGCAATCAAGACAAAAGCACTTTATAATGATTTCGTAGTAAGTAGGTATTATCTTGATAGAGTAGTGGTCAAGGAAGGGCACTTTTTTCTGATACGACAGAAATCACAAATTAAATGAAAAAAAGAAGAAATGGACAGCCAGCTGTTTCATGGCCTCCAACATGTGGGGCATCTACAAACATGTTTTCTCTCTATCAGCATTGAAATCTACAATTAATATGTACTTACATCTCTACATGATATTACTAGATTTTGTATTTAGGAATCTTTTTTGACGCAAAGCATTTTTGAAAATCTAGAATGGCATCAGCAAATATGTTGGATGCTGCTATAGCTTCCCCCTCCATTTCAGCAAATGCACATTATTTTGTTTGTCATGAAGCATGAGATTCTTTGCTTCAATCTTTGTTTTCCTCGAATTCTCAAGGTAGGAGCTTGTTGCTGATCAGCTCTCTATGCCATTCACAGCACAACTGTACCGAACCGGAACATCTTTTAAGAGTGTGTTGCCTAGAAAGGAGTCATGTAACTAACTGATCATCACGAGCAACTGTTGTTACTCACTTTAGATAAAGCTAACTGGGGGAGATTTTGTGCATGTATGCCATGTTCCTACCTATATATAGCAATAGTAGCATATACTGCCCAACTGATGTTAACTCAAAGAAGAAAACTGCCTGATTATACTAGCACTGCAGTGCCCAGTTTACTATATATTCTGCTACTATCAAGTTAGACATATATAGTAGTATCTTTAGAAAGTTTGTAACGGCTTTGCTAAACCGACAAAATTCTCTTGTTCAGGGACCCATGGCTGTCGTCGAATTCATGCAACATGGACGCTCATCATTTGGCAGGGTTGTCTTCTCCAATTGAGGTATATATCTGTGAATGGTTCCTGTCTAAGTGCAGTTTCTACGTACGTATATATGCAGTATGCGCCCCTGAGTGGCATGCATGTGTGTGTGCATACACATTGCGCTTATACATATATTCTTGTGCAAATGATACATGTTCAGAACGCGGAGCCTTGCCGATCGAGCAGCTCGCAGGTGTCAAACCACGAGCTGAGCAGCCCGAGCCTGGAGTTCACGCTTGGGAGACCGGACTGGCAGGGCACGGATCATGACTAACTAACTAGCTAGCCATCGTGAAGCAGCTCACAGAACCTAGCTAGAAGGCTAATTTCTTCATTGAGGGTTATAGTAGCAGCAGTACTGATATCAGGTATGCCTGAAGCCTGATCTCCAACTCGTAGGCAACAACGACAGGTTTTCGCCTGCGAAGATGAACAATCAACCAACAAGTACATCAGCAACCGCGTCTCGTCTCCACTGGGGTGGAGATGGGAGTACGTGCCGACGGAGCACCGGGAAGAAACTAAAGACTTACTGGGTCTCTCTCTCAGAGAGAGTTGAGTCGTCGTCTTTGGGTGGTTTGTTAGATTGGTCATGTTCCTGATTTCCTTTTCTTTCTTGGTTCTCTCTTTTTGTTTCCTTCTGCCATGTCGAGCGGGCGACATTATATTACAGCGCTGCCGCTGGCGGTGCAGCTGGGACTGTAGTAGCTGATGAGAATGATGATGGCGAGAGAGGCGTAAAGCTAGCCGTAGTGTGTGGTGTGTGTGAGTGAGTCGTGTGCGTTCGTCCATGTTTGGTGTGGTCGATGTCGTCGTGAACTAGCTAGCGTATCATTAGCACATGGAAAGTTGGAAAGGAGAAAAGAAAGAAAAGGGAATGAGTTCTCATGAAGCAATCTAACTGAGATGAAGATTTCATCCTTTTTGTGCATGTGTGTGTGTTTTGTGTGATCTCTGCTTTGGTTGTTTCTTTAGTCCATGCAGGTGCTTGTTGCCCGTGTCAGTTACTACTAGCTTGCTTGCCACTGCCTGCCTGCACTTTTCCAGCACATGAATATTTTAGCTGAGAACGAAGACGGCCGCCCATAACACACCTTTCACACTTAGCTGAATGATATGCAGGCGCTTTAAGCGTACATGACCAAAGCAAGGTAATAAAGCACGGATTTCCTTTTCTTTCAACAAAAGATTAAGGAGCGCATACCTAGGCTATTATTGAGGCGCTGGGATGGGATGTTTGTGCTCTCTTTGGCATGAATCAAGAATCATGCATGATATATACTTCTCCTACCTAGCAGTAGCACAATCAATTGCGCGCCTTCGATTCCGGTATCGTCTTGTCAATGATTCAAGCTGCTGGCTGAATGGTCAGCTCTCGACGCGTCCATTGCTGTGGTGCGGTGGTCCAAGAACTAGGTATAGGACGGGCACTGATCAAGTACATGCTTGCATAAACCCCCAATGGACGCAACCATCTGCCTGCTGCTGCTGCTGCCGCGATCCATCGAGATCAATAATAATCCACATGTGATTCTTCGTCAATCCTTCTCTCACTGGTCCTCCCTCCTGTCCTGCTGCATCTGCATGCCCATCGGCTAGGCATTTGGTGACGTCGACGTCGTACAGGTGTTTCTTGCGCGGCGATAGCACAGCCGAAAGGAAGACGCGAGAACTAAGCATGCTATTCAGCGGCAAAAACGCAAGCTCGCTTGGTGCCACCGGTGACGATGAGCAAGCTAATAAGAGCGAGATGGATGGATCGGGAAGAGAGGAGGACTGATCTCGTACGTTTGGTGCCAACCTGTGATAGCGTCTTAACGGATCGGAGGAGGAGTAGCTAGCACCTAGCAGCTGGAGGTGAGGTCCCAGTCCCAGAAGGGCCTCTGATTGATGAGGATGGACGACCGTGCCGTCACACTGACGACGCGGATTATAGGTGGACGTACTGATGCGTAACTTCTTCTCGGTGTGTTACCTAGTTAACACAACTAAAATTCGCCTAACTGACTTCACTTAGTACTGGTCTATCTATCGAGTATCAACCTGTCTATATAAGTATTGTCAGAGTTGTATATATAAATTTAGGGTTCGCTACTAATCAAAATAGCTTTTGTTTGTCTTTTTTTCACGTTTGCTCATGTTTTAGTGTAATAATCATGTCGATGTCGTCTTTATTCATATTCGGTTGTGATTGAGTTCAACTACTACCAATTGCCCTGTGTACTTTTCATTTCTTATTCATAATTGTTCACTTTGCATAGCATATTTTTTTAAAGTTGTTAGATATATAGTATGTAGTCCTGTCCCTGGAAAGGATCCCGTGCAAAACAACATTATGGAGGAAAAACATTGTTGACAACACCATCTGTGAAGCCTGCCAAGCACCAGAAGAGATGGCTGCTCACATCCTATTTGGATGCCCAAGTGCCCAACAGTTCTGAAATGCACTGCACATTCCAACACACAATCAGACTGGCCAGTGCAAGCAATCAAGGAGATTTCACCATCACATACCGCGGAAGCACTTCAGCACTTTCCTTCTACTATGCTGCTGGCATATTTGGAAAAAGAAGGAATGCCAGAGTATTCAGATCGGACAGGACATCATTGTCTGCAACTCTCGCAGCGTGCAAAACTGAAGCTTACCTCTGGGGCTCCAGGCTTCCAAGACAGGACAGAATGATTGCAACAACTTGGTGATCGATTCTAGCTAACGCAATGTAACGCTAACCAGCGAGTATCCCAAAATAAAACCTTGTAACCTACATGGCTGCTTAAGAGCCAATTATCAATATAACAACCAGCTGGTGACCCCCCGCGTCGAGTGTATATATATATATATACACACACACACACACACACACAGAGAGAGAGAGAAACTACTACTCTGCAACTGGTTATAGAATAACTTATTCTGTAGCCACTTTGAGTTACGATAATTATTATGCTAATTTACATGATTTTAGTAACTCCTTACCAAGTGGTTTACTATAATGTTACGGTAAATATCCCCATATTAACCCAACTATATATATATAATACATGGGGATATTTACCATAACGTTATAGTAAACCACTTAGCAAGGAGTTACTATAATCTCATAAATTAACATAGTAATTATCGTAACTTAAAGTGGCTACAGAATAGTAGTTAAGTAGTTATATATATATAGTTCAAACTGTTGCCAGCTTGGCCAGCCCTAGCTGCCCAGGTAATGGATCGCATATTATTCATATATATCCGGCGGCTATATGGCTCTCCTCGCGTGCTAATCACACACTACATTCCAGCAGAGAGTGTCGCCAAGCGTAGTCTTTTTTGTGACTTGACGGATGCTCCAAACCGCACAGGTGTGACACAGGTGCATGCTGTGGCCCGCGGATGGGTCGGCAACAGGCGGCCATACGGCGCCAACATTACTACTGTCCGCCTTGCATTGCTTGCGCTGTGTGTGCTGCTCATCAACCACAAGCTTCTTGCTTGCGACTCGGATCCCAAGGTTGCTGGCACATATTTTAATCAGATAGGACTAGTTACTGGTTACGGCTAAAAACTTTCAAATTAGCTAGAATTAGCCACCTAATTGGCTAACAGCTGTAGGCTTGGCTAACAATTAGCCCACTTATTAAAAACTCTGAGCTGCGGGGTAAGATAGCCTCGGAGCATTGCATTAAGAAGAGGTCATTCTCACACTATCAGGTCGAGAAAACTCCCGAACTTATGCCCCACCAATACACAGCGGCACCGTAGCCAGTGGCGGACTTAGGATTTTGCCAAAGGATATGCCCACCAAAATTTTTACATGCAATTCAGTAAAATGCATTTGGAAATTCCATAAATAATTATAAACATTTGCTCTGCAATTTGGTATATAGGTACTAAATACCATAATTAAGTCCTAAAATCAACAATTAAGTTTGAAATTTACACGAATTACAATACAAATATTCCAAACAATATTTTAACTACTAGTTTAAAATAAGTTCATAAAAATCAGTATCATAGACTTCAATCTATACAATATATTACAAATCTTATATAAAATATAATTTGTAAAATCAATATTATCCCCGAATGGTCTTAGAATTGGCTATCTTTGTGTTTATGAATTTAAACTTCACACGACGAGCTTCAGAGTGGAGATTTTATAGGCATAGCACTATACACAATAACTCATATAAGTGATAATGAGATGATACCAAAGTGATATCGTTTTTAACTTCATTGCATTCCATTTGGTGCTATGTCTCAGGGACACACCGAGAAAGGATAAAAATAGAAAAATAATTTTTGGTCAACCTCACCCTAACTATTCAGACAGTGGAGAGTTTCTTCCATCCCACTACCACAGCTAAGAGGAATCGAACGATGCCCCTCCTAGTTAGGAACCAAGCAACATACCACTAAACCATCAGTCTTTTATATTATATATTATTTGTAAACTTTTATTTATCATGATAAGAAAGTGTTATGTAAGACCTGAGTTGTCCCACAGGGTATGCCGTGGTCCACCTGGCTTACCCTATGGGTCTGCCCTGACTGTAGCCTATGTAAGAACAATCATGACCAGGGCCGGATTTTAGACATGTGCATTTGTGTGGGATAGATGAGGGGATGAGTACTACTCAAGCCACCTAACCAACTCAACTAGAGGCCCATTTGGATAAGCCCACTTATTAGCCCTCTGTTTGGATGGGCTGCGACTAATTTTGGCTAAATATTAGCTGACTAAGAATTAGCCCTATGCATCCAAACAAGCCTAAATTAGGCCGGAGACTGAATTTATATTGGCAATTTAATTTTGTAAAAAAAACACTTTTACTGTACTCAAGGGCTTGTAATAATTACAATAGAACTAAGTTTCTAACATGTTCATGTTCTAACACAATAATTTCGTATATATTTGTCCAGTTTTCATAGATATTAGGTACCAACTACTATATATACATTTTCATCCCTATACATAATTTTCCCTTTACATCACATCTCCATATGTTTAATTCAAATCTTAAGTTGAGCTATGTGAGTGTTTGTAATGGAAATATATATGTACCTCGTTTTCCTACATACACGAATATGTGGTGTGAATGGTAACAAACATTATGTATGCATGCCTTAAGTTAGTTTCTCAATGTTAACAATGACAAAAGTGGATAACATAGAAACACATATAGAAGTCTTTTGAGATATTTGTAATGACAGATGTAGGTAATTTAGGTTTAATTTAGGGGCTACTTTAGGTATTCATACTAATCATAGAGTTGTAATTTAGA